AAACTGACATAATATTAAGAGAAATGCCATGAAATAAGCATAAGTTTCGCTGACCACAAACCTTATCAACAAAAAAACAAAAACCATATGCATTAAAACCAACCACTTTAAACCTTTATTCATTCAAATATCGTATAAAGGCCCTGACCACCATGACTCAGTGACTTCTTATGAAACTGAACCTCTTCTTAAATTTGTAATAAACGGATCCATTAAATAGTGACACCCGAATCTAACCAAAAAATCGAATTCACTGAAAAATTTTGGTACCCTTTGCTCAAGAGACGAGTCGAATCTTGATATTTGCAGAAAATTTTTGGCGCTATTGCTTCAAAATATATGATACCATTTGCTCAAGAGACAAGCCGGAGTTTTGGTACCCAAATTTTGAAATCCACGCGTCAAGAGGATTTTGGTGCAAAAATATCTGGCTTTTTTTTCAGGCGGAGGCAAGTCGAATTTTTAGGAGTCAGCACATAGTAATAGGCGGAGGCAACAATCGGAATTATATCACTTCATGACATAGCTGTCCAATATAAAACTGGCACAAATCATATATTTGAGCAGTAGGTTTACCACAAGAAGCACATGGAGTGCGTTTTTTGGTCTTTCAATGATCCTGGCACCCTCATGGCGCATGCAAAATTTGGAGCAAGTAGAGCTGTCATTCTTAAGAAAGAGTAAATGTATTAATCACCTTGCGTGAGTAGTAATTAGATTCTATAAAGGCCGAACTGAACTAAACTAAAGCCAAAGCTCAGCTAAATCTATTATACTATTTTTCAGATTTGTATATTGGCCACCTGAACACTACTTAAGATTTGTTCATTGGCTATCCAAGTCACCTAAATAGTTACAATCTAATAAACAGTATTATCTAAATTGGGATGCACTAACTCGAGATACAGTGTGCTAGTTAAACAAGGGAGATAAAAATAAAAATAGGAAATAAAAGAAAAATAAAATAAGATAATCTAGGTAAAAAATAAATAGATAGATACATAGATGGTTTGGTACAGTCAAACCTTGTTACAGAGAGCCTCGTCAAAGCGGGCTATAATAATAATTAAATTCTTATCATTACGGATTGATTTTTTAAAATTTTTTTATGTGTCCCTTTCATACGCTGTGACAAAGTTTGACTGTAGTAGGAACTAGTGACCATCTAACTCAAATTATCATAGATACCAATTTCAAGATAGTATATGTAAGGGTTTTTATCAGGCATTTTGTAAGCATGTATTAGTTTATTAATTGATTATTATTATATTGTTATTACAAGATCAAGTCGAAGGGTATTAAGATAGTTAGAGCGAGACCAACGTGAAATCTTACCCTTTATATGCGCGTTTAAAGAGTGCAAATCTGAAGTTGAATTTCTTCAATTTAGTTAGTTAATTTTCAAAATTTTCTATCCTACATTATGACTTACGATTTCCGCGAAAGTTTCTCATCGCGTGACCGCAGTATCCATATTATCCGCAGTCTTTTATAGTGACTGAATTAAGCCATATTTGGTAGGCGGATGGGTTTAGCTTAAATAAATACAATTCTCATTTTTACCCGAGCTATTCATTAGTCGCAAATTGTTCGTCCGATATTGTATGATATCAAATATTTTTTCACAGAACAATTGGTGGGTGACAGGATAGAAAGTCTTTGGGATCTTACATATATTTACATTGATGATTTCAGACCTTCTGACGAGGAAATGATATTTTGTAAAATAATATTCTGCTCATGACAATTCATCATCCTTTGAAAGATATAATTCTAAGAGAAAGCCTTGATAGCATAAATATTTAGTTGTTTATTTATTAAAGTATAAGTGCAATATAAAGTAATAACGGAGAAATGAAGTAAATTCTTTGGATTTTATGATCATGAAATTGGAGATATGCAACGCATTGATTATTATTTCCTTCAAAGAGAGAAATTCTGTAACTGAGTGACATATTAAATCTATGGGCATTCTTTCACCATCATTATATTTATTATTATTATTATTATCATCAATTAAATAATTAATATCTTCAATTTTCATTTCTTTGTTCTTTTCTTTTGTCAATCCATTCCTGAATTGCATCATCTATTGTTCTTTTTAAAAAAAAATGATAATTATTTGTTCCAGATTAAATCAATTAGCTAAAATTGGCAATATTTTACATTTCGAAATGGATGTACAGAAATTTATGAATGAATGTATGTATTCAAGCTTTAATATATCGAGTTTAATTAATTAATTAGTTAATTGATTGATTGAATTTAATTATCCAAATTTAGCTATTACGTGGAAATGCAATAGAGTATAAAAAAATGATATTTTAATTCACGCTTTTTTCATAATGATCATTTATTTTCCTTCTCGCCACTATTCACACATTTGCTACTAATAAATTAGCCATCAACCATCCCTTAATTTATCACTAAACACCATTTTGCAATTAATAATAATTAAAAATATAAACAAAAAACTAAACCATTCTTTTTTAAATATAAACACACTAAAAATAAAAAATGAACAAAATATTTTGGCGTTTTTCTATTGTAATTACCTCTTTGATTATTGCGGCGGGCTTTATGTTTGTTCTTTTGAGCTATACAATTTTCAATGTTAAAATTTATCCGACTATAAAAGGAGGAAGCCCCGTTTCAAAACTCCCGTCTATTGATAAAACTATAACAGATTTAATCGCTCAATCATCACCACCATCAGTTATATCGAATGCTAATCAAACTCTTTCGGTGAATCCTTTGAAAAAAGCTATAGAATGCAGAGACGTGACATGTGCATTCAAGGATTTTGATTTTTCTTTTATAAATAACAATCCAAAATGTAAGTTATACCAATTTATTTATTATTTATTCCCTGAATGTCAATCAATCGATCAAATTAATAATTTGTTTATAATTTACAGGCACTTGTCAATAAAATTAAAACTAAAATTAAAATTAACTATATATAACGGTTGTTATAATAGCATTAGTTTATTAAAATAGAGAAATATAATGGTGGTGTGGTAACATTAAAAAAATTAATTTTAAATTAAATTATTGTATTTGACAAAAAAAATGTGCGCGGTACAAATCCGATAATTTTATTTTATTGTAATAAAGATGAATTTTCCCAAAATATTTTTTTAAATAGAAAAAATGGCTTTGTTTTTAATTTTCTAAATAATATTAACAGCAGTAGTAATAATAAGAATGCATTATCAATCCCAATAGCAGCAACAATAAAGCTATTGAATCAGTGGAAAGCTTGTCGAATTGAGTCAAAGAATATTAATACTAATATCAATTGATATGTTAAAACTGAAAATTTTCTTCAATATTACCATTCAACGCATTCAACATTAAACTTATTTGATTGTATACAAAGCATGGTATATAAAATTGCAAATAATAATAATAACTATTAAAAAAGATAATAACGTGACTCAACTTAGAAATATAATCAATGGATTTTTTTATAAATACAAATCACCAAACGAATCTAATGTATTAGAGGCATTAAAAGCTTTGTTCAAGATTAATAATAAATATTCATCACTATCATCGTCATAATCATTAATATCATCATCATCTTTAGACAATACAATAAACAAAGGATTGATATTCCTTCTTTCGAGCAATATACAGTCGATGATGTTTACAAGTTGCAGAAAATCTATTCGATAGATTGGACAATTCAGTAAAGGCTGCCAGTCTTTACAACATATATATATATTAATGTATAGTAATGCTATAAGAATTGGTAATGCTTATTCGGCGTATAACAATATGATACAGGAAAACATCAAACCAGATGTTTATACTTATTTATCATTGATAATTGGATGTGCGAGTAAATTAGATTTAGATCTTGCTTTAACAACAACAGACAATTTGGTGAATTCAATTTATATAATTCCATAAGAAAATCATTATGGTTTTAAAGGTTATGGTACATTTATTAATTGATGTAATGTGTGGTGGTAAATTGATGGCATTTGATTGTTTTATTTTTTCTACCAGAAATTGATCAAATAATGGTCTTGGGAATTGGACCGAAAACCTTCTTAAGCTTAAGGTTTGCAATATTCAAAGAAATTATCAATCAAATCGTCAACTAAAATTGATTTAGATCTTAAATTAAATAATTACGAAGTTGCTTTAATGAAATCACAAGATGTATGTAAACGTATGTATATTTATTATATAAAGATCATTATGATGAAGCTTTGATAGTAAGTAGTTCATCAAATGTCAATTGATGAAGTTCCATTGGATAATGAATCCTTCAATGGAACTATAGAATGGTTATGTAGCTATAAAAAACCCCCAAAAACTATTATAAAGATTATTAAAAAATTCCATGAAAATGGAGTCAATCCTACGATAAAAAATTATTAAAACAATAAATAACTATTTTGATGAAAATTTAAGTGATAGGATTACAAAACTTGATAAAATAACAATTACTATTATTAAATTATAATTGATGTGAAATTAATTTATAAAATTATTATTTGTTACTATTATTAATGGTTAAATTGTCCAAATTATCAATATATATATATATCTGTTCGCATATAAATGATCTATCGTCGTTCTTCTCTACCCCAAATTTTAACACCACTGCCAACACAGAATACAAGAAACTGACATAATATTAAGAGAAATGCCATGAAATAAGCATAAGTTTCGCTGACCACAAACCTTATCAACAAAAAAACAAAAACCATATGCATTAAAACCAACCACTTTAAACCTTTATTCATTCAAATATCGTATAAAGGCCCTGACCACCATGACTCAGTGACTTCTTATGAAACTGAACCTCTTCTTAAATTTGTAATAAACGGATCCATTAAATAGTGACACCCGAATCTAACCAAAAAATCGAATTCACTGAAAAATTTTGGTACCCTTTGCTCAAGAGACGAGTCGAATCTTGATATTTGCAGAAAATTTTTGGCGCTATTGCTTCAAAATATATGATACCATTTGCTCAAGAGACAAGCCGGAGTTTTGGTACCCAAATTTTGAAATCCACGCGTCAAGAGGATTTTGGTGCAAAAATATCTGGCTTTTTTTTCAGGCGGAGGCAAGTCGAATTTTTAGGAGTCAGCACATAGTAATAGGCGGAGGCAACAATCGGAATTATATCACTTCATGACATAGCTGTCCAATATAAAACTGGCACAAATCATATATTTGAGCAGTAGGTTTACCACAAGAAGCACATGGAGTGCGTTTTTTGGTCTTTCAATGATCCTGGCACCCTCATGGCGCATGCAAAATTTGGAGCAAGTAGAGCTGTCATTCTTAAGAAAGAGTAAATGTATTAATCACCTTGCGTGAGTAGTAATTAGATTCTATAAAGGCCGAACTGAACTAAACTAAAGCCAAAGCTCAGCTAAATCTATTATACTATTTTTCAGATTTGTATATTGGCCACCTGAACACTACTTAAGATTTGTTCATTGGCTATCCAAGTCACCTAAATAGTTACAATCTAATAAACAGTATTATCTAAATTGGGATGCACTAACTCGAGATACAGTGTGCTAGTTAAACAAGGGAGATAAAAATAAAAATAGGAAATAAAAGAAAAATAAAATAAGATAATCTAGGTAAAAAATAAATAGATAGATACATAGATGGTTTGGTACAGTCAAACCTTGTTACAGAGAGCCTCGTCAAAGCGGGCTATAATAATAATTAAATTCTTATCATTACGGATTGATTTTTAAAATTTTTTTATGTGTCCCTTTCATACGCTGTGACAAAGTTTGACTGTAGTAGGAACTAGTGACCATCTAACTCAAATTATCATAGATACCAATTTCAAGATAGTATATGTAAGGGTTTTTATCAGGCATTTTGTAAGCATGTATTAGTTTATTAATTGATTATTATTATATTGTTATTACAAGATCAAGTCGAAGGGTATTAAGATAGTTAGAGCGAGACCAACGTGAAATCTTACCCTTTATATGCGCGTTTAAAGAGTGCAAATCTGAAGTTGAATTTCTTCAATTTAGTTAGTTAATTTTCAAAATTTTCTATCCTACATTATGACTTACGATTTCCGCGAAAGTTTCTCATCGCGTGACCGCAGTATCCATATTATCCGCAGTCTTTTATAGTGACTGAATTAAGCCATATTTGGTAGGCGGATGGGTTTAGCTTAAATAAATACAATTCTCATTTTTACCCGAGCTATTCATTAGTCGCAAATTGTTCGTCCGATATTGTATGATATCAAATATTTTTTCACAGAACAATTGGTGGGTGACAGGATAGAAAGTCTTTGGGATCTTACATATATTTACATTGATGATTTCAGACCTTCTGACGAGGAAATGATATTTTGTAAAATAATATTCTGCTCATGACAATTCATCATCCTTTGAAAGATATAATTCTAAGAGAAAGCCTTGATAGCATAAATATTTAGTTGTTTATTTATTAAAGTATAAGTGCAATATAAAGTAATAACGGAGAAATGAAGTAAATTCTTTGGATTTTATGATCATGAAATTGGAGATATGCAACGCATTGATTATTATTTCCTTCAAAGAGAGAAATTCTGTAACTGAGTGACATATTAAATCTATGGGCATTCTTTCACCATCATTATATTTATTATTATTATTATTATCATCAATTAAATAATTAATATCTTCAATTTTCATTTCTTTGTTCTTTTCTTTTGTCAATCCATTCCTGAATTGCATCATCTATTGTTCTTTTTTCTTGGGATTAGTTTCATCAGTAGAAGTTTTTATTGTAGAAGCAGCAACACCTTTTACATCTCCAAGTAACTCGCGAATTTTATGACCATTTTACTGAATGAAAAGTCTGGATTCAATCCTGTGTTTTATCGAATAATTGCTTGAAATCCTTCAATTTTTTTCAGATGTTTTTCTTTTCATCAACTGGTTTATTTGAACTATATTTTTCTATGTTCTATTTCATATTAATTTTTTTGTTTTATATTAAAGAGTAATTTTTATAATGAGGAAAAACACCAAGGAAAAGACCAATTAATAAGCCATAAATAAATTCAGTGGTGAAGGTAAGCATTTTTCTTAAATTTTTTTTTATATTTATTTATTTATAGTGGGGTTATTGAAAAGATGATAATTTAAAGACGATATTGCGGTTTTATTTCTTAAATTAGTTTTTTTGATTTCACGTTTTGTAAAGGATTATATATGGCTATGATTTTGATATTATTTAATTATATTTTTTTGTCCATATTCTTGAAGCTAACGTTTAAACAAAGATGTTCTTGAACGCATTATTTGGATTTAGAAAATAATAAAATAATAATAATAATAATAAATTAGTATATACTTTGCCTCATTTGAACCCTGGAATTCCTTGTACTACAAAATGTTCACTTTGTATTAAGTATGGCATAAATAATTCTCTCTCTTTCTCTTTATATACATTATAATTATCCAAAAAAAATTTTAAAATAATGACTTCATCACATCTTTGGGCACCTTCGCTTGAACCACGTACAATAATAAATTCCTGGGCATATAAACATGCTATAATAAATGAATGTGTTAGTATAGGTAAAGAAGAAGACGAATATGAAGCACAAGTTTGTGTAGATTTTATTATTCATTATGATTGATTTATCGATTTATTTATTTATCGGTACGCTTAATGAACGATAATATTGTATTTTTTACTTTTAAAAACAATAATAAATCGGATAAAATAAAAAGTTAAAAGCGATAAAAGATAGAGGAAAGAGATTACCTATTCCTGGAAAATATAGAATCAAAGCTTGTGAAGATGATCCAGTATGTTTATTTATTTTTCTTTTTTTTTTCCAAATTTCAATTAATCTATACATCCATCTATACATCCATCTATGTCAATATTTATCATTTACATATAGTATGATGAACAAACAGCGGATGATGTTCAAGATGATGATGAATCTACATATGAGGAAGAGGAAGAAGACGACGACGACGATGATGATGTTGAGGATGTAGATGAGGAAGATAGTGAAGATTTAGCAATGCGTGATGTAGATGATGATGATGTAGATGATGATGACGATGACGATGGTGATGATGAAGATGATAGAGAAGTGAATGGTAACGTTAATGAGGATAGGGATGGGGATGAGGAAATGGTTCAAGATAATGGCCTCAATAATCGCAATAATAGCCTCAATTTTTACAATAATAATGGTCATGATAATAATAATAATAATAATAATAATAATAATAATAATAATAATAATAATAATAATAATAATGATAATAATAATAATGTTGGTGGTAGCCATTTATTATAATTTAGAAAATTGCCATCATCGTTGTCACTGTTGCTAAATAACAACGATTAAATATCAAATATCAACTAATACGGCAACTTATTACAATGTTATATATACATACAATTTGAAATAAATGCCAAGTAAGATTTTTCTTTTCTAAAATATTTTGTTTTTTTTTTTAACCAAAATGATAAATCGTCATCATCCAAATAAATCCAAACAATTAATTGATACAATGTAAATTTATCATCTGAAACTAGCATAAAACATGTTTATATAATTTTATAATGATAGTTCATTACACATGGCAATAATAACAAAAAACAAAAATTCAAAACCTTAAAAAAAAAATTTTTTTTAGCTAAACAGAAAAACAAACAAAGCTGCTGGTTGATTGACTGAACATCCGTTAGTTAGCAATGGAATGATAGTTGTTCATAAGTAGATAATATTTTAACTGACTTTTAATATACATTACATCTATTAAATAGTATAAAATCGAAACAATCTGTCTTTTTGATTTAGTTATAATATAAAAATATAATAAATAATATATAGTAAATGATGAAAATATATATCAACAAATAATAAATTACATCTTCTAATCCATTGTTGTTTCGCCATAGTCATCTATTAAATGCATAAAAACTATATCAAAATTAAACTTAATCATCATTATCATCATTAGTATAGACTGATTCTGGATAATGTTTAAAATTATTTTTGACTTTATAAATTTCTTGTCATTTAGCTTCTGCTAATTTATTTTTTTTTTCAGGTGGATCAATACAATATTGACCAAAATATTTACATATTTTTTTAGCTGCTGGTTTATTTTTTGGATTAGAACCTCAATGTCTTTTCGTCAATTCAGCAAAGAATTCAGGAGTATCATCTGTAATTTGTGATCTCTCTTCTTTTAGAATATCTGATATAATACAATGATTATGTAGCCTGTCATAAAATGGCTTCTTTCCTTTAGAGAACTCACACAATGTCTGATTCTTTGTATATGGTTTTCTTGATAATATTTCAGATGTAGGTATGGAATTACTCCAAAGATTTTATTTTGTTATCTTTTTCATTCATTATAATCCCAGATCTCCTATAGTGCTAATCAAATGATTATATTACCACTGTGCAAGTCATGATGAATGTAATTATTCATATGAATTTCATTTATGTTGATAATAAAATAAATAATAAATTTACTAGATATATTTATAAATAATAATAATGTATCTAATAATAAAGTACTAAACTTACCCATATGCAATATAATAAAGCGAATAAATTTTATTTTCTCAAGTAATTTCTTTAAAATTTTTTGATAAATAATTAACTAAAAAAATTATTACAAAATAATATTTGTTATTAATATTTAACATTTAATCATAATAGATGTTATACTATACCAAATTAAAAGGTTACCTCTTTTAAAAATTTATTACTAGAATTATATAATCTTTTAATACAACATTTTTCATTCCACCAAATGTTTTGGTTCATATTGCTTTATGGATTTTTCGAAAACCACCTTTAGCTAGATGTTTGATATTATAAAATTCATTTATGGAATCCGGTATACATTATCACTATAATATGTATGTTTTTTATGTTCATAAAAAAATATATTTCTTTATTTCCACATTTATCAGTTAATTTTTTCTTTGCAATCATTTCATAATATAATTTTTCTTAATTTATAACCTAATTCATTGACTATTATTTTCCTTTTCATATCCATATTTTTCTTTTTTAAACTATCTTTCAAGTTTTTAGTTCATTTATTGATTTATTAAGAAAATCAAAATAATTTTTTTCAATAAATCTTTACAACTGGTACAGTTATCTAATTCATTTAATAAAATGACATTTTCTTCTGTGAAATCTGATTCTAATATTTTAATGTGTCAAAATGGTTCATCTAATAAGTTGCATTATTTATTTATTAATCATCAACAGTATCCATTTTTTAGAAATTCAAATTAAAAATTCTCTAGTCAAAATTGCTGCATCTCATATTTGTATAAATGGTAACAATAATCTTAACATTTTTAGTTTGTTTATTAATTTATAAAAGGTTGCTTGTTCCCGGCAAAATACGATATGAAATCGAGTGAGTGTCAAAAAAAGAAGAATAATTTTGTGATGCTAACCAGAAGATTTTTACATCTGTTCCTTTCTATTTTCTGTTATTCTAAAATAGCACAAATTCAATTCAATGTCATTTACGAACTGGTAATTCAATTATTTAGCAATTATACCATGTTGATATGATGTATCAAGGGTATATTACGATCATAGTATCACCATTATTTTTTCTCCCCGAGTTCTAAATAACGTCTCTTGAGTAATGCTAATGCTCCCGTGCTTTTCGCGCAGGCAACCAAGACCATTGAAATGATAAGAGCATACCATTTTAGTTCGAATTTTTTGATCATCTTCGTTTAAATAGTCAATTAATATATCATCATCTGGGCGATATATTAACGTTGTAAATGGCGAAAGCTCGGTACAATTGTAACGTGTCTTTAGCGGTATCTTAATCACGTCATTTCTTTTTCCAACTGTCCAATAGGTTTTAGTAAATTAACATTATTAGAACCTAAAAAATCCCAATCATGTTATGATGGCATCTGGCATGTTCAGAAATATGGTTGAATAATTGTGATTCATTAATCTCTTCTTTGTATATAACCAAGTTTCTTTTAAAACAACTAAATAGAATCTTCCTTTGACTAAATTCTAGCCCATATATAACTGAGGGGATTATTATGTAGAAGCGAGAACATAGACAATTCTTTGTTTATAAATCCTTGAAAACTATTTCATTATCTCTATACATAATGTAGAAAACAAAAGGTGGTATATAATTGTTATTTCTAATCGATATATTAAAAATGGCCTGAGACAGATGGCTGTATATTGTTCAAAAAATTTATAAATACGATTGAATTTTCATTCAGCAGAAAGAATCCAACCAGGGCTGGAAATATTACTTTAAAAATCCGGGTTTTCCTTTAAAAAACTTTAACTTCTGAAAAAAAAAGAGTTGTCGGACCCCCATTTCTACCTACTTACTGAATGAATCAATTCAGCAAGCTGAATCATTCAGCAGAATCAGATCGATGGATAGCAATATTCATAAACATTAATTGTGATTTGGTAAATATTCCAATACATTTAATAGGTAAAGTGGAAAGATGATTTATTGTTATTAATATTATGTATATATTATTTATAAAAAAACTTTCTAAAAATGTTGTTTGACACAAATATTTGTTTTATGCTGTGCATTTCCAAAAAATTTGAGAAATGGATGCAGATATAAATACATTATACAGCTCATTAGATGAATCATTCGGCATGATAATGTCACTAGTGCCAGTAACTGAATTTGGATATGATGAACTAGTCAGTTATCAAAAACACATTAGTACTATATTTAATGAATTAATTGATTCATTAGAATTAATGGATGACTGTATCAATTGCAAAGAATTAATGGGAAAAAATTATTCTAGTTTTTTTTATGAATCAATAAATGAAATAAAAAAATCTAGATCATCAATAACTAAGTGGTGGTCAGATCCAGGTAAAGCCTATGAATTAAGTAGAGTATTTATTAGTATTGATGAAAAAGTTTTATTATGTGATGGTTGTAAAGAAAAAAAAATTGAAAGATTAACTGATAAATGTGGAAATAAAGAAATAACAAGATTTTTTTATGAATGTAAACAAGATCCACAATATTCTAAAAATATATTTTGGATTCCATATAATGAATTTAATAATATTGAATACTTGGCTAAAGGTGGTTTCGGAGAAGTTTATAAAGCAACATGGTTTAGCAATATTTTTTTTAGACCAATGGATGTTGTATTAAAAAGATTATATAATTCTAATAATAATATTTCAGATATTTTAAAAGAGGTAAAATTTTTAATATTATTAAATATATTTTATAATAATTTTTTTTAGTTAAAAGCACATGATGAACTTAAATTGTGGGTTAGCCATTGTTATGGAATTACTAAAGATCCTAAAGAGAATGATTATCTGTTGGTATTTCTCTATGCTAGGTATGGTGATTTGCATAATCATTTATCAAAACATAAACATTTCAAAGAATTTAATTGGTTTAAGAAATGTTATTCACTAGCTAATATTACAAGGGGGTAAGTTTTTAAATTTTATTATTAGACTTCATTGTTTATATATAATAAAATATTTTTTTTTTTGTTACCAATATGAATTAGATTATGGGATATTCATGAAAAAAATTACATTCATCATGACCTTCACAGTGGCAATATTTTTTCATACAGTCTTGGTAATGACAGGATAGGAGATTTAGGATTATGTCAACAAATGATGAATGAAAAAAATAAACCAAATAAAATTTTTGGGTTATTCCATACCTAGCACCTGAAGTATTGTCAAGAAAACCATATACAAAAGAATCAGACATTTACAGTATTGGTATGATAATGATTGATTTTAATTTTCAATATTACCTTCATTTAAAATCCAAAAATTGGCTTGTGTATGGCTCAATTATAATAAAAAAAATAGATGGGTTGTGACCTTCTTAATAAATTTATATGTAAGCCTGACTTGGCTTGTTGGAAATTTTACTTTCAAAATTTTGGTACAAGATTGTTAAATGAAGTAACAGACAGAATTGGATTCCAAGATAAATCTTTTTTATTTTTTATTTTATAATGTCTTGTACCTTAGATTCATAATAATAATAATAATAATCAGTATCAAAGTTACCACATAATAAATAAATAATAAATGTTTTAAATATGTTAGAAATTGTGGAAAAGTTGCCATTTTTAAAAATGCAAGAAATTTACTGCCAATCAGGGTTGGCTGCATAACTCAAATAAGCACTTGGCTAAACTGACTAAACTATTTAGTCATATATTTAGTCAAGATGATTGTTACTAAATTAGGCTTTTAACCCCTTTACACTGCCAGCCCTGAGCCCTTTTTGTTGTTTAATCATTTCCATAAAAATAAATTCCAAGTCATGTGCCCACTAATTTATCATTGGTCCAAAACAATTAAATTCAATAAGAAATGGCAACCTTCGAAAGAATTGAACAAGTGTTAGAAAAGGCAGAAAGAAAACTCGAGGCGGCAGAAGCAGAATTGAAAAAGTTCGAAGAAGGAGAAAGTAACAATGGAAAGTGGTTGAATGAGTTGAGGGATAAGATGAAAAGTTGCAACCTTAGTGAAGTGGAAAAGGCAAAGAAGATGAGGCTGGAGGAAAAAGAGAAGTTGTATAAAATTGTAGACGATTGGAGAGAGCAAGTAATATACTTGCAAAAAAAATTAAGTGGAGAAAAAGGTAATGAACAAATTGCATAAAAAAATATACAAAAAATTATTTTTCATTCATTCCATTTCGTTTATTTATTTATTCATTTGAGTGACATACATATTACTGTTTTGTCTTTGTTTCTTTTTTTTTTTTTTGCACTATCAATGACATATTGAAATATACAAAAAATTCATTCTATTTATCAGGGAAGCAAACAATTAAGGAAGCTTTTCCAGATGGTTTACCAATAGGAGAGCCACCTCAGTTGCTCACTTCATCTGGTGCTAGCTGGGATTTCCAATTGAATGATGATTTACGAACAATTCTTGCAAGAGAAGTTCCTGACCATTACGAACATTACTGTGAAAATCAATGGGACAAAGTTCATATGCCAACCTATTTATTTCTAGCTGGAGCTGGTAGTGGCAAATCGCGAAACGCGAATGAGTTTCATACATCTGTTTTGAATTCATTATCACAAGAACATACAGAACTAAGAACAAAGATAGCTAATGCTTGGATTTTTTGTGTCAGCCTTGAAAATGGTTGGTCATTGATAACTGGTGAGAAAGGATCCACTGCTATTGGTACTAGGATGCTTTGTCAATGTCTGGCTCAAAGTTTGGAAGCTATAATTACCAATTATGAGGCACCCTATCCATATGATGTTTTTGAATTAGTTGCTAAACATTATAAGAAAAAATTAGAAGACTGCACTATTTTTCTGGTAGTGGATGGCTTACACCAATTAATGTCTGAACAAGCAAATGGAACAGACAAAAACAGTGATTTTTACCGGACACTAACAAATATAGGGGATCTTGCAATGAGAGGAGTTTTCTGTCTTCCATGCATCACAGCAACCGTTTTTACTCCCATTACTTCCTTTCTGGCTAGCTCACATCAAAAATGTCTTGATCTGACCTCCACAAATTCAGTCAAGGGCAGTATTTTCTGAAGATGACACTCTTGTAAAAATTCTCATTAGTGATTGTGGTGGCAATGCTAGAGCAATGGAAGCACTTAAAGATACAATTGGTGATTCAAATATCACAAATATGAATCCTAGTTTCTGTGATGCAATTTAATCCTTGCTGACAGATACAAAGAAATGCTTGGTAATCTTAGTTCTGATGTGGCTCAGGATATTGCAAGAGTAATTCTCACTCATAAGAAGCTGCGACATGATCAATATATTTCAAATATTGTAAGGAAGACTCCTGAACAGTTGGTACAGCCTGGCTTGATCCAGTTCCATAAAATTGGTGAACTGGGAGAAAGATACCTTTCTGCACCATACATCTGGATTTGGATTCTGTCAGAACAAAGGTCAGATGAAAAAAGTGATTATATCCTTCAACATTGGAGATTCGATGACTATATTGAACAAAGGTCCAAATTACAGGTAGGTCCAGAAACACCTCCTGGTGCTCAATTCTGGCAGAATTTTGAAGACTTTGTTGCTAGATTTCGTTGCATTAAATCCCGGATTTTTAATGAAGGTGAGCATGTAAACATTAGTGAAATGCATACAAGGGCTGTATTGAATGTTGAGTTTCGATTTGTGAATTATCATCTTGGATTCCGCACTGCAACTAAGCAGATTGATACCCATTCAACATCAGACAACATGAAGGAATGGTTTATCACATGTACTCATGATATTGTTAATGCTCGAGATTGTCAAAAGTTTATCCTCAATTGTGCTTCAGCACCTGCTGGAGATGGCTTTGTTTGTCTGGCCTGTCCAGGACATACTCTAAATGAAGTACACCAATACAAGCATCTGCAAAAGAGCAATTTCACTCTAGATAGCTGTCAGGATGAATGTTATAAAGCTGCATCAACTGACAATTTTTTCCTTGCTTTTACAACTCAAAAAAATTGTAATTGGGATGATAATCTTCCACCAAACTCAGGTATTATACATGGTCAGAATTGGGGAAAATATTTTGGGCCATTTGCTGCTCGAGCCTTTATATTTTCACAGGATAGTCCACCAGATATTAACAGTGCAACATACTTGCACCTACAGTTGATTGAGGGAATAGGTATGGAGTGTGCTGAAAAAATTATTAGTAAAAGACCATTCAACAGTTTGGAAGAAGCAATAGAAAGGACAGGCATTGATGGGAAAATGTTGAAGAGATTTAAATTCTCATCTCAGTAGTTATGATTCCAACAGATGTTAGATAGCAAATAGAAGGACTTTTATAAATGACAAAATATAAGTCATGCTTAATGCATACAATAATTCATTGTCAAAATCCATAACACATAATGTAAATACATAGGCAACCCCTTAAACCAAAGGCAATTGTGCAGGAACTTTTCTTCAGATTAACTGGGTTTTTTATAATCCAAAGTTATTATTAGAGTCATAAATTAATTCGGATAAGCGGGGTAATAAATCTAAAAATTTAGGATTTAGAATTTCCTTTATCCATTTTCTGGCAGTGAATTGATTTGGATTCAATGATAAAAATAATCACTCTTTTTTAGAATTTCAGAAACAGTAGATTTACTGACATTATATTTAGATGCAAGCTGGTTATTTTTTATGTTTGGTCTTTATTTTTGTCAATGCATATTTATATTTTTGTGAGATTGTTATAGGCGTATGTTTTCTTTTTGATACCCCAACTCCTTCAGTAGTTTTTTTTTCCTCTTGTTTGCACTAGAGGAAAGTCTACCCTGGTTATTAATTTTTGTACATGTTGTGTGTGAAAATGAAATTTGTGAATTTGCACATATTCAAATTAGCCAATCAGAATTTCATATCCAAACACTCCACCCCAAAATTTTAATTATAGATTTCAATTTCACATACAATATTATTGGTCCAATTTTTATTTCACTTCGGTTTATAAAAATTCGGATTAACGGGGCAATTTTACATATAAATGGCTTCAAAAAATTTAAAATTTTCTTCGGTTTACAAAGTTTTATTAGTGACATTCATATTAACGGGATAATTTACATATCTTTGGCTTTGGTGTTTTCATTTTAAACGGGGTTTTCGGATTAGCTGGTTGCCTATATAATTTAATTAAATTATTTTATCGTTATTTTAGATGGATAGATATTCTATTCTAATTGTATACTGATTGATTTGTTCACTCATGCGGTAAATGATGACAGTTCCAATTCCAATAATGCTATCTATCACCCAATGTAAGAGTAATTCCATTCTCTCATTTTATAATCGTATCACATGTGAATCATCTATTACTATCCATCATCTTTAAAATACTTTGACTGATCAACGAACGATTTTTTTGATTGTTACGTACTATATAGCCGCAGGCTATGTATAAATATTACATAATTGATAACAAATTTTTTTTTCTCTCTGTTTGACAAAATAATAAACCAACCAATTAATTTATTTGTAATACCGTGATTAATCTACAATCGTGTGACGTAAATTAGTGAATGCTGCCATATAAATAGGTTGAGAATTTTCGCAACTCTCTTTCTCAAAAATCAAATCTATAACTCTAATTAATATTAATATTAATGTTAATACACAAAAAAAATTCGAAACCCAAAATTTTAAAAAAAATCAATTTAAATACTTTAAAATTAATTAATTAATTAATTAATTAATTAAAAATTTATAATCAATATACGAAATCATTAAAAATATGGCATCAAAGTTACCATTAGATGTTCTCCAAATAATATTCACATTCATTCGTAAAAGTGAAAAAAAGAAACTTAAAGCTATAGGAAATTTGCATTCTTGTTTACTAGTCAATCGACAATGGTGTGAAGCAACAATACCATTATTATGGTGTAATTCATTTTATTATTTCGAAAAAGGCAATGAAAAACTAATTGATGTTTACATATCATGTTTTAATGAAAAGGAACGTACGGAATTGGAAGAACAAGGCATAAAATTATCATTTACAAATATAAACAACTCTCTTCCTACGCCTACTTCACCACCACCATCACCACCACCATCATTGTCATCATCACGTTCTTCATCTTCTTCTCATAGTCATCATAATTGTTGTCATCAAACGATACAACAACTACAACAACCACAACAGCCAAGTTTTGATTATGCAAAGATGTTGAAAAGATTAGATTATGATAATTTTTGTCATTCAGTGGATAATTGGTGTGGTAAATTGATAAAACCACCATACAATGTAATTTCATTAGTGATCAAAGCTCTGTTAAGATTGTTTTTGACTCATTCAGCTGTTTTGATACATTTGGTGATTGGTGAATGGACTTCAAGGAAATCTCCTGATTTTATATATTTAAAATTTACCGAGAAAGAATTTGAGTATTTGTTTGAACCTATAAGAAAATTAGAAATTCAAGGTGAATTTGTTAAAGACCGTTTATTAACGGGCTTGAAAGAACCATGTAAAAATATTGTAAGTATTTTTTATACGCAAATCATGCATCTATTATATTATCTAAAGTTTATGAATTTATTTAGGAAAAATTATTTGTATATATAAAAGATGTTCCACCAAACTATGAGGAGGAATTGCACTCATTACAACAATTTGTCAAAGAACAACGTTGTTTAAAATCATTAAAAGTAGCCAATGTCGCATCGAATTTTCTTTTTCCAACAATAGCCACACAGGCCAATACTTTACGTTGTTTATATTTGTGGGGATTAAATTTCACAAACACGGACAATTACATAATACCATGGCATTTATTATTAAGGTTTAAAAATTTAGAAAAATTAAAATTTCGTAATTGTATTGGATTTGATCAACACATGAAAGATTCATTAATAAATGGTAATGTCGAAGAAATGGTGGTGGTTGAGAGGGATAAGAGTGGAAATATAAATGACAATTTGATTGTGAATGGGAGTGGGAGTGAATATTATAATAAAAGTATTATAAATAGGATGGATATATCCAACAATAATAAAATTTATTGTTGTAATGGTAGTGGATATAATAATTATAACAATCATGATGATGATAATAATCAACGAGTTTTTAAAAATTTAAAAATGATTGCAATAATTGGACAATGTAAAACATTGAATAATGAATATATATTTGAAGATGATATTAAAGAATTAATTGATTGGGGTGTTGGACAAGGTGCCATTGTATTTCTCGGACACTTTCATAGTGCAGACGCATTTTTTAAAGTTGGTAGAACGATAGAAAGCAAGTATAATAATAGTTGATTGAATTTATTGATTTATTAATTTATTGGAATAATATTGATTTTAAATTTTTTTTTTTTTAGAATCTTTACTAATTTGGGAATGCTCTGATGATTTCTCCAAGATGTATAGAAAATTTTTATGTAATATAGCTCATTGGTCATGATATTATGTTATGCATACATACATAGAGTGTATATATTAATTTTTTTATAATAAAAGAAAGGACTTAATAATAATAAATGCAAATTTATTAATCACCTTTGTGGTTATTTCTCAATAAAAATTGATGGAATGTGTGTAACTTTTTTACAAATGGCCATTACTATATACTTCAATTCAAAAGCATTTATATATGATTTTGTATGTAGGAAATTATTAGGTGAAATGAAATGAAATAGAATGAGAATTAGAGATAGACTATTAATAAGATAATAATTGGAATGGCAAGGAAGAAAAATCATTATTATGGAAAGTAAAATTAGAAAAATTAATAACAAATATGATGATGACAACCTTTACTTTAAAAGACGAAGACTATTATAGTAATAACAGAAAAATAAAATGTCAAAATCATCATAATGGTGAATTTCATTATGGAATTTATAATGATTTCGTCAAGAATGGCAAAAAACCACTCTCTCACAATTAATACTTTATTTGGGATGTGTATGGTCATTAGGTTCAGAGATTGCAACTGGTTGGAGTTAAAAGAGTTATTACAATTATAATTATAATAATAAATTTTCAAAGTTTCTTTTTCATGATATACTGTTGCAAGATAATTGGTTCGTATTGAAAGTCGATCATCTTTACCCAACTTTTAAATATTTCTCCTCCTCCGCTATTATTATTATTGTAACTTCCAACAGGCCAAACTTCTATTATAGCAGTTTGATTATTGAAAAACACTTTGGAGTCGATAATATTTGATTTTTGATCAAAATAATTTTTAATTCTATTTGCACATCCTTCACATTTGATTCCTTTAATTTTCATCACGTAGACTTCCACTTCTTCTTCTGCTTGTTCTTGTATATTTTCTTGACTTGCTTGGTTTTTTCCTAATTCTAATCCCAATCCTCCTCCTCCAAACATTCCTAATCCTAAACCTCCTCCTAATCCAAATCTTACTACTCCCCCTAACTTCCCTCCATCCACAAATTTGCCTTGATTATATAATGAAACTAATTCTGGTAAAAATGTTAAAAATATTACAATAAATAGTAATTTAAAGGTTCTTCGCTTTGATCTTAATCCATATTTATAAAACAAACTAGTTATAAATATTGCACTCATTCCTAAAAATATTGATCTGTAAGGTGTTAACACACTAAATCCTGCACATCCTATCGAGAACAAATTTAAAATCAATTGAATCAAACAACAACTTGACCCTAACAATCCGTTAATTATTGCAAATATATATTGATTATTGATAGGAGTCGATACTAATGATAATAATGAATATTTTTTTGTCATTTTATATTGCATATCCCCAAAAAAGAAAATTTATTAAGGATCTATTTAATATTTTTTTCCCGAAAAGTTCGATAGAGATAGACCTACACAGTGTTTTAGCATTAGGTGATCGACGTATATACATTCGTTTTATCACTTGTGACAAAATCGATCATTGATCTTTATGTTGTGAAACATGTGACTTCAATTGAAAAAAGTCGCGTGACTGGGCACAAAAACTTGTTTAATACGAGGTGTATTTTTTTAACATGTATATTTTGCTTTCTATGTTCTCGGTGTGTGTGTGTGAAAAATGATCAAATGATCAAGTTTCTTTTGGAGGGTTACATAGGAGCTATATTTCAAGCTTTAGTGATCAACGTAAATATATTGTAAGATATTCTAGGCTCAGAATCATGTATTTTTGTTTTTATAATATGTTTATTTAAAATTTTACCAATACAAGCATTTCGGAAATAATCATTTCTTCAATTAATGCAATGAGCTTTGATTGATATGCTGTTTAAAAAGTATAGGAAACCTAACAATATTGATTTTTTTTGTTTTTAAATAAAATACAATTAATTTAAAATAGTTTCATATATTTTTTGATGTCTTTAATGTTCCAAATTAGTGAGCAGTTTGAGTTTTGTAAAATTTCTATATTTTTATTTTTATTTTTCCCATTAATAAATATTATATATATAATTAATCCCTAAAATTTTAGAACTAACTAGATTTAAATATAAGACACATTTTTTTACTTGTAAAAACAACGTTTTTATTTATACGCAGTGAAACTTCAGTATATACTATTTGATATGAAGATTGTTACTTGAATTATTTTCGATGGTCTATAAGGGTTAATATATTAAGTCACATTATAATAAATATAGATAGTGATGGGAATTTTTAACCCTACACTTAATAACTCCAAGTTATTAATAGCTAATAACCACTTATTAACTGTTGCACTCTGGGCAAGAGTCATTAATCCAAAAGATCCATTTTCAATCAATTCCGGTGTATAGGATTCAGTGTGCAGAATGTGCTGTGCTAACCAAAACCAGCAGATTTGGGAAAAATAATTATCAAATTTGGTTAGCATGCACACTCCCGCACACTATGCACACTCATCACTTAAACTAAATTAATTATTTAACTTGTTCATCAAATTAATATTTGATTAAACGATTCAAATAATTTTTGCTATATACCAATAAGAGATCTGCACGTTTGTCTTTTTAACACTTAATAAGTCATCGATAGAGTTATTAAGTACTTAATAACTCTGTCATTTTTCAAAATAGTTTTTACGCCCATCACTAAATATAGAGATATACTTCAAAAAAAATTATTTTTAATTAAGTATTAGTATTGCGGTGATAATCACCACTGGTGAGAAATAGCAATCCTTTTAATATTAAACAAAAATAAACAATTATGAGATGTCAAGAAAAAGCAACGTGACTGTTAAAGAAAAAAATTTGATGTGTAATGTTTGATTATTCAGAAATTGGAGTTTGTGAAATATTGACTGACCACTCTAACAACATCCACTACTATATTGTTGTGGCACCGGTGCACCTTGTCCAACTTTAACAGTTTGTTTTGGTGCTCCAGTTGAGACTGTTGTCGTGCCCATTCTGTTACCATTATCATTATTGTTAATATAATTAGTAAGTGTTAAAAGGGATAATTTTTGTACTTAATATATAGTTAGCAATTACGATCTTTTGTTTTAATACTAATATATACCTGTCTTTAATCTGTTTAGCCATTGTTAAGAAGGCTTGTTCAACATTTGTAGCATTTTTAGCTGATGTTTCCAAGAATGGAATACTTAATTGATCGGCAAACTCCTAATAAACAAATAATATGTATATATACAAAATATATAAATATATAAATCAACATTAATTAATTTATAAATCGATAAAACAAATCGGTAAAGCTGACCTTTGCAACTGAATATTCTACAGCTTTCTTATTTGCTAAATCATTCTTATTTCCAACCAATAATTTATTTACTCCTTCACAAGCATATCGGTCAATTTCCTGGAGCCATTGTTTTACGTTAGTGAAGGTATCTGGATCAGTAACATCATAAACTACAATAATCCCATGAGCCCCACGGTAATAGGAAGATGTGATTGTACGAAAACGTTCTTGACCTGCTGTATCCCACTAAAAAATTGGTGATGATGATAAAGAATAAAAAAAATATTAAATATATAATCATTCTTTCACTTATATTATGAATAAAAACAAAAAAAAACATACAATTTGTAATTTTACTGTTTTTCCTTCAAGGTCAATTGTACGAATTTTCTAAATTAATTGAAAAAATCATGTAATTATAAGTTACTTTATTATTGTTGTTGTTGTTGGTGTTGTTGTTGTTGTTTATTTAAAATGTAAAGACAGATAGATAGATAGCTTACGAAATCTACACCGATGGTACTGATATAACTTTCTGTATATGTATCGTCTGCAAACCTTAAAAGTAAACAAGATTTACCAACACCTGAGTCACACGTCCAACCAAATCGATCATATGTTCTTTCGTTAAATACAAGCCATTTATTATTATTATTATATATTCTGAGAGGGGTTGTTTCATAAATAAAAAAATTTGTTATCTTTTTTTAAAAATAAAATTTATAATAATTAAAAGTTTAGCGCACAAATTTTTTTATACATATATTTTTCTTTCTTTCACCTCCTAATTTCATTTATTATTTCACTTACTATTAATATTTTTAAGTAATCGCAAATTTTTATATTTATTACGAAATATGAATCCTGAATAGTAAGTGCAAAGCCAGCAGCATCTTTTCTAAAAGTGTTGTTGTTTATTAT